GGAGCACCCTGTAGTCATTAAAAAGAGAAGCAAATTAGACAGTGTTCTTATTTTAATTCTATTGTGTAAATTTAGAGTATCTTCATGTTTTGTTTATTGCCTGGTTTAATTTAATAGTGAAACTGTGGCTATTAGCATGGAAAGCAATTTACTTGGTCTGTCAGTAATGGAAAAGCCTAGCTGCACTTTCCCAGCGTTTGTCTCCAAGGATTATTGGTGGTTTGCCAGTAAACTTTGCTTTTGTCAGAACGCTGTCATGCGTATGAAATGCATGTAGATACATAAACAAACCCACAGGGTGGTATGTGTGAGCAGGCAACACAGGAAGTCGTTCCTATTCAAGTGTTGTTGACAAACCTAACGAATATTGACACTAATTTTGTTTTGTTTTGTTTGTTACCATGCATCTCTGAGGCAAACATGACCGGTGCAAGCATTCCCTCTGGCCGAAAATTGGCAAATGCACTTTTGTGAGTAGCGCATATTGATTTTACTTCAGTTGCGCAATCTTTGGCAGCCATTATTCTGAAGACAGATGTTTCTGAGTCGTGGGGGAATGCATTCACCTTGCACTCGCAGCAATAAAGAAGACATGTGTTTGTACCTATGTGCGTTTCTCTCCATCCTCCTGGCTCTGCCAGTAAACCAATGAAGGGGCCAATCAGAACTCACTATAGCTTCCCGTTGACCAATCACTGAGAGTTTCAATGTGTGGAGCAATATTTCATCCCAAATAATATTGTGTCCCATCCCTAGCGCTATAGTTTCACCTCATACACAGGTTTTTGTCTGGTTTTGCGGGGTGGGAAATAATGAAAAAATTCCTTATCCATGTTGTTGCTCTCTGATGATATTATTTGCCGTCCCTGGATTATATTTGATCAGGCCATAAGCCTTTTTTTTAGAGGAACTGTGTTTCAAGCGAAGCTTCTTTCTCCTGTGTAAGGCTGTTGACCCTGGGTGAATGGGAGTTTAGACATCAAATTTTCATAAGACCTTTTCCTCCTCAAATTGACCATGAGATTTTCCTGTCTGGAAAACCACAGGTTTTGAAATTTTCCTTATGCCTTTTTGAATCTACAGATGAGAAAGTGAGAACTGATCTTAGCTCAGCATCTTTCAAGGGCACAGCCTTTTTCACGAGCTGTTTATTTCTCAACTTCAACAAATTAATTATGAAAAAGCAGAGGGAAAACATCGCCCATGCAACTGACATGTTTAGGTTTGTTTTTGTCCTTTTTAGTGTTGTTCAGATTTTTACCACCACACAATATTTGCTCTTTCTTACAAGCTGCAGCAGTAAGAAAACCAAGGCAAAGAAAAACAAAGGTGAAATCAATGCAGAACCGAAACAGACAGTTTTTTTTTTTTTTACTTTCAGAAACAGGCAGGTTATGTGATGAGGAGAATCAGGAGAGAAACACTGCAGATAGAAGGCTGGATTTCATTTCAAAGTGTACATCCAACTGATACATTTATTCCTTTATGCTTCTTCTGCCAGTGAGAATTGAATTATGGAGGTGCTTTGAAATGTTTTGTTATTGCCATCTGAGAGCAATATATATAGTGCTTCCACTCACCAAGAACATATTTATTTTTTTCCTTTGCGACAGGTATTTATTCATGCACACATCCACATTTTGATGGACAGCTGAAATCCCAGCTTAGTTGTCATCAGCGCATCGTTTGACAGCTTTGCCCACCTTTGCAGTGGACACTATTATTGAGGCAAACAGGTACGGAGGACAGGCCGTAGAAATCCTGGGAGTGTATGTAACATGAATGAAAACAACTGTGCAGAGTTTACAGAAAGACATACATTGGAAAAACTTGTGAATTTGCAACAGAATTGGGCATTATAGTCTTTTTATTGTTGCATTTATGCAATTGGAAGATGCATAGATGCATTTTATCAATCCTGGCGATCAAACCCATGACCTTGGCAACACTATGCTGTGAGCAACATGATTTGTTAAATGATTATGGGGCATAGAAAAGGCTAGGTGTTTTTCTTTATCAAGGCCATGCATCGATCCGTTAGCATTTCTTAACATCTTACAAAGACCTCATGTATGATACATGTGTGATGAAATGATAGAAAGAAAACGAATGGGGTTTTTACTGAAAATCACTGCTTAGAAAGTGCTGCTGCTTGTCTTGTTCAAGGTTCACCACAGCGGGAGACGGGACTTTGCAATCAGTGCTAAAAAAAATGCAACTGCTTTCAACCAACAATTTCACTTATATATAGTCAGATAATGGTCGCAATTTATCAGTCTTATAAAGACTTCTGGGATGGGCTAGGATCTGTGTGCTCCATAAGATTACTCCTGAAGTAGTTTTCTCATTTCCTGTTGTCAGGAAGTCTGTATTACCAAAAAGTGAGAATTTGTTAAATGCTGTTGCCTGTCCAATTGATTTTAGTTTCAAGACAACAGTAATCATTTTGAAATAGATTAATACTATTAATATTAATGAGTACTTATGGTAATATTCTTGCTCATATAGTGTGATTGATGAATTCCAGACATTTTGAATAGTTGATAGTTTCTCAAAATTTTGAATGAAATTGAATGCAAAGACATAAAATAAATAACAACTGTATTGTTTATGTAGATTTTAACAGTTATATGTGAATTCACTTCAGCAATCAGATACACTCCAAGCCAATTTGCTGAAAGAAGTTCTAGAATTGTGAAGTTTTTGTGAAATCAGCTTGAAATGGAAAAACAACCACTTTCCTTTTCTCATACCATACCCAAAGACTGAAGTTAGAAGACAGACTGTCAGTCTGTTAAAAAACTAAAATTCTGTTCTATCTACGAACATTTAAACTGCTAATGAAGTTAAACTGGGATGCATTTGACACTTTCAAACAAACCACAGTTTACACCTGCTCAGCTTCAAAACACGTCTTGCTGTAATGAAGAAATAAACTGACAGTCAAATAACAGAATAATTTGTTCTCATTATCACAGCACAGTAGTGTAGCAAAAGGGGTTATCTAGTACAGTGGTTCCCAACCCTACCCAAGTTTCTGCTTAATAATGTCACAGTTTTTGCAGTGGAAGATGTCAGTACAAAGGTTGAGAAGAAGAACGAAGGGATCAAAAGCTGTCTTCTTCATGAAATCAGAAGTTTCAGTTGAACAAGTCAGCAAGGTTCACTTTTCTTCCTTGTCATTGTGGAACAGGATTGCATTCATGGAGACTCTTATTAATCTGATCTATTGCAAGCAAGCGTGAAAGAGTCGCCTTGTAACATACTGCAGAAAACAAGGGAATTTGGTTATGACTTTGGGGATTACCCTGCACTACCAACATATAAATTCATAATATGATGTTATGGTCTGGGTTTGACTGGTTGCACAACAGGAAGCATAGATTGAAAAGCAAGTGGTTTTTACAGATGCTCCAGTGCACTTGCTCTTTCCAGCATGGTGCAAGACTGGGATTCATTCCCTTGGACTGTGGTGCATGGCAGTGCTGAGCGTCCGAGTGCTATTCAATAGAAGAATTTGGATCAATATTTGTTCAAGTTGATGTAAAGAACCACCAAGACACTCTCCATTGTTTTGAAGCATGCATGCAAGCGGCATTCCGACCTCCAGCTATTTTTTAATCTTTTCCAGCATCCGATGTGTACTTTGAAATGCAGCCTGAGCAGGAAAATCACTTTTTTTTTTTTGCATTTCAACTATCTGTGCCTGACATAAAAATACACTCCCACTATCTCTTTCTGTATTTCTCTATATACACCTATATTGAACCCAGACAGGATGTTTGATAAGGAACGTTTTTGATCAGTCTCCTGCACTGTGGTCTTATCGCTTTATTACTGCCTGCGGTTAATCCAATATATACTCCCTAAACTTGAAAGCCAGTCTGTCCATCTGCAGGTGTTCCACTGTAACCACTGTCAAGATTCACAACCAGATATCCAACAATTGCTATTCCATTTCATTGACAGGTGGTGATTTCATTGCATTTCTACCCACGGGACTGCATTTCTGAGGAATTCTTTACTATGTACTGTCACTGTAACCTAAAGGGATCGTTCACCCAAAAATGAAAATTCTGTCATCATTTACTCACCCACATGTGACTAAAGAGAACTTTTTTCTTCTGTGGAACATAAAAGATATTTTTAAAAAAATTCTCAGTGTTTTTTGTCCATACAGTAGAAGTCAATGGGAACCAAAACAGTTAGGGTTACCAAAATTCTTCAGAATAACCTCTTTTGTTTTCTACAGAAGAAAGAAATATAGGACGAGTAAATAATGACAGAATTGAAATTGTCGGATGAACAATCCTTTTAAGATTGCGCCATTCCATGTGTGTGTGATGTAAATAGTTTCCACCGACCCCAGCTGTTCTCGATTTTGGTATCAAAGATGCAAGAATTGTAACTCTGACAGATGCCTATATGAGTCTTTAGCTGGTGCACTATGTTCATCAGTTTGGAGTTCATACAGTGCAGAATCTGTTTGATAGCGCTTTAATTCGATGCTTAAAATGCCCACATATTACTTCTGATAACAATGATTATTAAAATGTATTATTAACATATATTTTCATATTATTATTATTATTATTACATATATTAATTGTTTTTTAATAATAATAATAATGTAAAACATTGTATACTTTTGCTTTACTATTGTTATTATTATTACTACTGTGTGTGATTTATAGCAATATTACTTTCAAAACATTAGTTTGAAGATTCAAAACATTAAAAGCAAAGTTTTCTTTTTACATTGGTACAAGAAGCAGAAATTCTCATTTTTGAAGTATACAAATTGTCTTCTGAAAAGTTGAAAATCAGCACATACAGCAACGTTTGAACCTTTGAATGTTTCACAAAAGTACTTTTTAAAAAGAGTATCCTTAGCTCTCTATGCAGCATAATTGAGCTTATAATTTTTGTATGCAGTATAAATTTGGTTATTTTCATCACAGTAATTTTTCTGCATTATTTTGTCTTTTTGTTTTCTGCAGGCAGTGGAAACGAATCTAGCATCCAAAGATAGTCACTGGGTATATGCCAATGAGGTAAGCACATATTCATAAGTAGTTTCATTACTCATTCTTATCTGTTTCAGAAAAGAGGGATCGACCTTGAAACTGTCATCAGTCAGATCGTGAAAACAGCCCAAATTCAGTCTGCTGTCGTCATATCCAATTACAACTTGCAGTCTTTGATATGTGGCACATCTCTCATTCAGTATGTAATATGCTGTCACCATGCTAGAGCAAAGCTGACAGTGGATTATTGCACTGGCACAACTCTGAGGCACAGTTTTGCTCTCCTTATTTCTCTCTCTCCCTCACTCTGTTGACTGAGAACTGGATGTGGAAGCAAGACCAAATGAGAGTCTGGCCCTACAAGAACCAGTGTGAACTGAGCATAGAAATCTAGCCCAATAAGAACTGAGTGCAGTACTCAATAAGACAGAGAGCATGGCTGTGGGCTGAATGACATAAAAACTCTGTGATTCTGTTTGATGTGTTGACACCAACAGAAATTTCAACATAATAAGACAAAAAAGCATCAGACAATGTCTTTATATGCAGAGAGAGAGAGAGAGAGAGAGAGAGAGAGAGAGAGAGAGAGAGAGAAAGAGAACTTTGCTTCTCTGGGACTACCTGACAATATGACAAAGTCATACTCGAGTTTAAAATCTTACAGCACACTACAAGCTTATCCAAAAACACTTTGTCTATCTCTCTGTATCCATCTACACTACATGGCCAAACAAACATTCACACGGTGAAAGGGGCATCCCTCACCTGCTATAAGAACTTTCACTCTTCTCAGTAAAAGCTACCATAGAATGTGGATGCAGGTATTTGATCCCATTCGGACACATCAAAAAAAAAAATGCCAGTACCAAAATGATATGAGTGTCAGAGGTGCACTCTTTAATACAACAAAATTGGATGGGGACTAAAGGCTGTAATACAAAACATGACTTTTGAAATCTGAAGAGATTTTAAAACACTGGGCATCATATAATACACTTACCAACTTAATTTATAAAGGTCAGTGAGTCAAAAGCTAATTTATAACTCATGCGTTGTTTCTTAGAAAATAGAGACACTATTTAGGCCTGCTGTAGTGCAGAATTACATTTCTAAATTGATTTATTTTTTCTAAATTAATACTTTTTTTCAGCAAGGATGTATTAAATTGGTCAAAAGTGACAGTAAAGACATTGACAGTGTTTAAAAAGATTCTATATAAAAAATGTATTTTTAACTTTCTTAAAATAATTTTTTTTTTTTAATAAATGCATTGTTGATGAGCATAAGAAACTCAAAAGAGAACACTAAGACAGCAGTAATAAATTAGAACAAGTTGAGGAAACATACTCATAAGGAAAATAAATACATACATAGACTAAATAATGATTTATACTACATCAACTTTGTAATAGTCACAGAGGAAAAACTGGCCATCATACACAAAATGACTGAGGATCACATACTATCAGACTTTAAAGTTGTTCCAATCACTACAAACTCAAGCTGAAATGTGCACCTTATTGCTAGGAGACGAATGACAAATAAAAACAATGTGTATTCTAAAATCAGCTGGAAATATCAAACATGTTTGATATCCTCTGACTGGATGGAATCGTATTCTGAAGGTAAAAAAATCGGAGCTTGTGACCATCACACACTACGCGATTTTCTATGAAACCTGTCAACTCAAATCTACAGACTGGCTCTGACTTTCTGCAACTAGCTTTGACTTATCCAAACTGTAAATCGGGAGAAAATCGGGGCAAAAATTGTGTAGTGTATTCCAGCCTTAAGAGTGTTAAAAAGGTCAAAAATGCACCATACAAGCATAATAAAATTAGTCCATAGGACTTATGATTTATTTCTGTCTTCTGAATTGATAGTTGGTGTATGAAAACACTAAGTCATCATTCAGTTAAAATATTGCTTAAAAAAAAGCTTAGATATTCTGCTAAACATCTCATTTTGTGTTCCACAAGTCATATAGGTTTGGAGTGACATGAGGGTGACCAAATTATTAATTTTTGGTTTAATTCTTGTAAATTGGCTGCAGGTATATGTGTTTGTCTACATTACATTCAAGATTACATTCCATTTATGCACTTTCTTGAAACAGGAATAGAAAAACCTGTTATTCAGAAGGAGATGCCCACATCTTGGATATGAGGCTCTCTCTCTCTCTCTCTCTCTCTCTCTTCCTTCTAGTATATAACCCTGTATCATACTGACTAAACTTGCTTAAGGCATTAAGTCATAGGATCTGCCCACTTATTCCATAAAGAGCATTCAAAACAAGCTGTCATGCTCCACTTCAAACAGTCCCCTCTTCAAGATTGGAAAATATATTTTAAAAAAATTTTGCACTTCTCCTAAAATGCATTGTAATGATGTACAGTATGTGCACTCATAATATAGTTACTAGAAACAGAATGTAAATGTTCTAACATGTATGTAAATTACATACCGCTCTTTTACTGTAGTGGTTTTGTTTTTTTAATATGTGTCTCTAATCCTAATCCTATTTTCGGCTCTTCTCGTTTCATATTTGCTTATTTGCATAATGTAGTCAGTTTTCAGTGTGATCAAATTAAAGCAGTCGTATTCAACCTAGAAACGGTAAAAGAGAGAAACTCTCGCTGCATTACCTCGAGGCAGGAAAGGTTTAGATTTAGGTTCACATTGCTGTGATGTCTTTGTTTAACCCTTATTCTTAATTGAAGTAATTTGCTTGTGCCTCGACACACAGTCACTACAACACCTATGAACACAAATTAAGCCTCTGCAGTTTTCATCCATCAAGGTCATGGTAGAACGTCTAGTATAGTTCATTCATTTTGAACTGGACTTTGTTTATCAGTGTTAAGAACACGAAGTCCAGTTGCAAATGAATGATTAACATAACAAGGATGCTAAATAAACAATTTTACTGGAAATAATTGAAATATTGAGAGAAGAAATATTAAATCTGTTTTCCCTGTAATGTCATCGTTTCATTAAGCCTAGGCTCTTGTACAGATGTGTCTTCAGTTATATTCAGGGGTTCTGACCTTTAATAGATGTCACAATATTCTCTTACTTTCACAAGCGCTTGAAGTTTAATTAAATGACAGATTTCATGCAGCATGTTCAGGGATTCAAACATCTGTGGTGATTTAATTACAGAGAGTGACATCAGAAGTCCTGACTCTGCTTAATATCACCTTGATCAGTTGATCGGTAAAAAGTTTTATAGTCATGAATAAATGAATAATTAATACCTTCACCAGAGACGTGTATCAGAGATCAGTTACATGGTGGGCTGGCCTGTTCCCATTCAGTCAGTCACGTTCTACGTTATGTCAGTGACTGACGAATTGGGATCTCGCCTGAGAGCCCAATCACCTTCGAGTGTAAACTAAACAAGCCAATGACAGTTGGCGTGCGTGTTTGATTTAATGTGTTTGGAGGTTGCTTATGAACTCCCAGCATTCCACACTGTGAGTCATCTCGGCACTGTTAGACTCAGCATATTCTCCTACTACCTTATTTTTTGTTTTTGTTATTTTGTTTTATTTTTTATTTTTTTTTTTTGTCCAAATGGCGCCAACTGTTAGATGCCAAGATTATAGAAAGATATTTTTTTAAGATCAAAGTAATTATAAGGAGTGAATGTACTTCATTTATAAACGTCAATGAGTCAAAAGCTAATTTATAACTCAAGCGTTGTTTCTTAGAAAATAGAGACACTATTTAGGCCTGCTGTAGTGCAGAATTACATTTCTAAATTTAATACTTTTTTCAGCAAGGATGTATTAAATTGGTCAAAAGTGACAGTAAAGACATTTACAGTGCTTAAAAATTTTATCATCTGTTGTAAAACTTTATTTGACCCTCTAACTCTAGCACTTTCTATTCTATTTTAATTCCACTTTATCTATTTATCTTCTTTTTTATTAGAAAAACTAACACTAGCTTTCAATTTTTTTATTCTATCTGCTTGTTTTTCTTTTTGTTTGTGTGTGTGTGTGTGTGTGTATATATATATATATATATATATATATATATATATATATATATACACACACACACACACATATATACTGTATACCTTGCTACATGTACTGTGTTAGGCTAACCGAGACTAGTCATTTGCACTTATATATTGTTGCTCTTTTGTTAGTTTTGATTGTTTCTATTGTCCTCATTTGTAAGTCGCTTTGGATAAAAGCATCTTCTAAATTACTAAATGTAAATGTAAAAAGATTCTATATAAAAAAAAGTTGTTCTTTTATCTTTCTTTTCATCAAATAATTAATTTTTTTTTGATAAATGCATTGTTGGTGAGCATAAGAAACTCAAAAGAGAACAAGTTGATGAAAAATACTCATAAGGAAAATAAATACATAAATAGACTAAATAATGACGGGTATCATATTTTTAAAATGCCATATGTTGTTTTATATGATTAAAGTGATAGTTTACTCAAAAATAAAAATGAATGGCTCTCTTCTTTACATTGAAAGTAAATGAAGACCAAGGGCTATCAAGCTTGCTCCATATAAAAACGCAGCATACAAACATCATCAATATGACTCTCATATATCTAATATTCTGAACCCATATGATAGCTAAGTATGCGAAATACTGCAAGCTGTCATTCACTGGAAATACAGCTCTGTTAAAAATTGCATGAGGGTAAAAAACATGCTTAAATTCAACAAAGAGGACATTTCAGAGCTTTCTCTATTTTTATAGATTTTAAATGTGGACATTTATTGTACCTCTGGAATATATTCCTTTAAGAATTTTTCAGTTTGCAGCTGATTAAATATTGCAGATCTTTAGAAGTGTTTTGATTTTCATGCACCATATTCTCAGAGGGACCAATCCATCATTGCTGTAATTATTTATCCTCCATATGTTGTACGTCACATTTCTGGACATTATTGAGAGAGTAGGTTTCAGTTCTTAACTCCCTGAGGCTTTAGCTATTCCTGTGTGCGTTTATAAATTGCACTCCAAGACTATGAATGAAACTATATGCTTTACATTTTAAACAGACAGGCTTTAATTTCGTTTTGTTTCTTAGTAAGGCTGAAGCACTTCTGACTTTTGATTTATATGTTTTGATACTGATATTTACTTCTACTTTGACTAGCTAGACATTTATGCATTAACTTTTTGTGCATTTTAGAATTTCCTTGTGTGTGTGTGTTTTTTTCTTTACCCATAGCTGTGTTTTCTTGAAACGGGTTTCTTTATTAACATTGATATCTGATTTATGTATTGTATACACTCACATACTGCTTTTTTTTTTCTTTGAGACCACAAATCATGTTATCACGACATTCAATTTATTGTCAGCCTGTTTTCATTGTTATTGTTTTCATTGTTCTGCATCTCCAATCAATGAATCATATGTTTTTACACCAGTTTGTTGAGTTCAGAATTTTTATAGTCTTTTAGTGTGTGATCCATTGTCGTTTAGTGTTTGTTTAGTGTCATTTATTGTACAAAGTTGGCAAGTGTATGATGCCTAGTTTTTTAGAATCATGTTCATGTAGTGTATTTTAGTCTTTACATGGCTAAATAATGATGTGTAATAAAATAGTCAAAAACCCTCCTTTTTACAGATTTTACAAAATATTTAGCAGAGCTGTCAACAGATCATCTCCATGGTTACCACACAATGCATGCTGATTGTAATTCTGGTATACTAGCTTGTTATGTATTTATTATATCTTTAATTATTTTAGTTTGTTGGTTTTGCAGAGGTATTATTTTTTCAGCAGCGATATCAGAAGATATCATTGTTTGGTGACTTTTTTGTGCCAGTGGGTTAATATGTCTGTTTTCACACTATTCCTTTATGTATGTGTGTGTCTGTCTGAGTGTAGGAGGTTAGTGACACGGAGATCATGGAGCTTGTCCACAGCGCTCTGGGCCGGATGACAGTGATCCGGCAGATCTTCCCCCTGTGGAGGGACACCAACATCCGCTGCATGAGGAACAATCATCGCATCTCCTCGCTGCTTTGCGACCCACAGGAAGGGTACCTGCAGTCTCTAGAGGTACGTATCTTAGCAACATTTTTTCAGAGCACAGTGAATTCACACTCATTCATCAGAAATAGATCTGGAGGTCAACGTCAGTTCAGGTCATTTAGTGCAGTTTCAGCATCAGATGGCCTATTTTTGTGGTATGATCTATTTCAGATAAATCTGCAACCAGCACATAAAAACAAAACAGACTTTGGTCAGTTGCTTCAGACAGTCTCTTCCTGTCAATGTAGACCAGAATTGCTAACTTTGCAAGACGATGCATTATTTTGCAATGAACTGCTATAAGCAGAATGATTTACAACTAGAAATCTCAATTCTGTGGACTTTTGCTAAATGTTATTTTGTATTCATAGCACATTTAAGATACATGGCAGCTGCTTTCCTGCAGCCAGAGTTCATTGCACTGTGTTAGTGAGATTTACTCCAATAGTTCAAGTCTGAATTTATCTTTAATTGTCTTTTCATTACAGCTTTGCATTTGCAGTTTGAAGTATCTGCAAGGCTGCATAATGACTGCAGTAACTGTCAAGTTTATTTTCTTTGTTGTATCACTTAATTTCTCTAGAATCTTAATTCAAAACAAGGTTACGCACAACTGATCCAGATTAGCCGCCTGTGCCCTGATGCTTTAACCTGTTTACAAATTACACTGTAATTGTCCCCTCCCTTACACAACATTAAAACACTGTATCTGTTTCTGGCTCTATGAAAACCTTGTTTGGGTCTTAGTATCCATTTTCCATCTTCTAGAGCAGATGGAAAATCCATGCGTCTTTTCTCTGGGGCTCACTGTCTCAATAATTCATGAAGAAAGAGGGTTACTTACCAGCTAATGCCAAAGCAGCACCACAAAACGACAAACGAGTTCTTTACAGAAAGGATGAGAAGATATGCAAGATGTTAGGAGCCGCAGGGATGCCTCTCGTTCCTCCATTGGTGCAAAGTATACAGTGCAAGTTGAAGAGAGTAAGAGATTGAATCTGTGCTGTGGCAGATTGGCTGTTTTAATTAACTCAAGATGTTGCGGCATTGTGATTCTGAGCCCTCGGGCCATGGGTCTCCATGCACCATGCTGACAGTTCACGCAATGCTGAATAAAAGCTCTGTGGGTGGCGTGCTTTTATCCGTCTAATTGATGTCCTAATTTTGTTGTTTTGTTTTACTCATTTAGATTTAAAGCTTGTGTCATCAAAATGGTTACATACTCAAAATGTTTAATATAATATATAATGTAATTAATACAATGTTTAACATATGGACTGGCTGCCGGAGAATAATCAAAAAGCCCATGAGAAAATGGGCTGATTTAAAATCATGTACTTTTGTGTGCCTGTGTCTGTACCTGTGCCAGCTGAGCAACTGACATTGGGATAAGTGTGAATGCTAACAGATAGCTTTCTTATAGACCTCTTAGTGGCCTAAATTGAAAGCACATCCTGATCACTCTGGTATCAGCAGTTCTCACTGAGGAACACGCTGATTTTAAAACAAGTCATTCTTGTGTTATAATAATTTCATCTAGCTCACAGTCACACAGAAGCACACAGGGAAGTAAAGCCACCCATTTTATTTGTTACTTAGTAGTAACTGTGTGAGTCTTTGTTTTACATAGGCTAAAACAGATAGCATATTTTGTCTCACTTGTGGGCGGAAAAGGCTTTGAATCATAAATCCATAGTCTTGCAAGGCTTTCAAAGCCTTGAATCCATGTCAAGGATATGTCTGACTAATTGGACATCTGGCAGAGCGTTCTGAAAGCACTTCACTACTTAGGGGACGAATGAGGAGCCTCAGAGGTCAAAATTATGTGATCTTATGTCACGGGCACATTAGCATTTTCTGCATTCACATATATCTTACATGAGCAGATCATGCCTCGGCTGTAAACCCAGACGACCATGACCACAGTTTGAGAAAGGTTGTTGATAGGGTTGCCAACTTCAGCAGAGCAAATAAAGAATGCTCTCCATTTCTTTATACCACATTTGGCACTTAAGATTTCAGTAAACTATTGGTGGCAAGCTGACCATGTAGTAAACTGAAATGAAACACAGTCACAGCTTTATGCCTGTAGCTATGTCTGTGTATAGTTCTGCTTGACTGAATTAAGTGCTAAAAATGCTTTAGAGATGCAATTGCTTTGATTTTGGCTTACAACTTCATTGCATCTGTTGTAAAACTAAACCATTTTTAAAATGTGTCACGTCATTACACATATATCAGTTTATCTTCTTTCTACACATTTTAACACTTACATTTACATTTACATTTAGACATTTAGCAGACGCTTTTATCCAAAGCGACTTACAAATGAGGACAATGGAAGCAATCAAAATCAACAAAAGAGCAATGCTATACAAGTGCTATAACAAGTCTCAGTTAGCTTAACGCAGTACACGTAGCAAGTTTTTTTTTTTATCATATAATACATAAAAAGAAAACAGATAGAATAGAAAAAGAATAGAGTAAGCTAGTGTTAGAGGCCTTTTTTAACTTAAGAGAAAACAACCAGACTGTAAATAAATATCTCAACATGAACATAGTTAAAGTTTTAACTGCTTTGTATTTAGACAACTTCATTATGCAGACTAAGATTTTTTTTAAGTAATTAGCATTATTGTGCGAGTACAAAAACAGGGTAACTCTTTAGTTTTGGAGACCAATTCTCACTATTAACTAATTATTTGCATTTGCAGTTTGAAGTATCTGCAAGGCTGCATAATGACTGCAGTAACTGTCAAGTTTATTTTCTTTGTTGTATCACTTACTACTCACTACTATTAGCATGCATATTGCTAGCATATTGGCTGTTTATTAGTACTTATAAAGCACATATTAATGCCTTATTCTGCATTACCATATTTTAGATCCCTTTATCCTACCCCATACCTTACCACTTATTAATAAGCAGCAAATTAGGAGTTTGAGGCAAAAGTTGTAATTTCTTGTTACTAAATATTGAGAATTGGTCCCCAATTTGGTTGGTCCCCAATTAAAAAACAAGTCATAGCTTTACCCAGATTCACAAAACAAGTGAAAATTTGTTTCAACCACAAATGATAATACAGAGGCCAAAATTATTTAAAATCATCATGAAAAAAGGAATTGTGATTTATCCAAGTGAAACGGCTTCTTGAACGAGAAAAAAATATAGGGTGGGACTTGATTTTGTCCTTTATTTTTCACCATTGACATAGAAAGTCAACTCATTTCACATCCATCGCTACCAGTTTGATTTCTATTCCAATCTCTTATCTTTTGTCACTTGAAACTGAATAAAATGCAATAAATACTAGAGCATCCTTAGTTGTTTGGGTGCAAGATGCATGTCATATTTCAAATTGAATGCCGTTCTTTCCCTTAAATACGGAATAATTCTGTATTATCTTGGCCGGTTGTCAACCTTAGCAGGGATGCAAACTAGATGAAAGGATAGAAGGCAGATAAATTCAACCCTGTTTGCCTTCCTTCTTCTCCTTGAAAAGGGTAAAGGGTTTGGAAAAAAGGGTTTGTTTCATCGCTCTTGTGTGCAGTCTTGACTCCAGCAGGAGTGAAGAGGTCTCATCTTTCTTGTAGACAGCTATTAAAGAGAGTGGATGAAGATGTAATCTTCATTGTAAAATTAAGTTTTTTGTTCCTCCCAGCATCCCTCACTTACATTCTTTCCTCTCTCAGTCACACCTTCATTCTCTCTCTCTCTCTCCACATTGAAGTGTGTTGTTTTGTCAGGATCACATGTCTGAGGGGACATTGCGGTTTGCCGTGCGGCCCCCAGACTCTCGTCTCCTTGACGATAACAGCGCTGTCGTTCAGGGTGTCTTTTCTCTCTCCAGGTGTCTCTCAGCACGACAGCTGCTCTCTGCAGGAGCAGAGTCATGCAAAAATCTCCTGCAGCGCTCTTTCTTTTCCTCTTGCTCTCTGTCTCAAAGGAAGTCAGCAGACACATTCACACACTCAATCTGTCTTTCACAAAGTTAGAGAACAATTTTAGTACGTGGCTTGGCCGTTCAGCCCTATTAAGCAACTTTTTAAAAATGTTTTAGGCTTGGGCCGCCTACGCACTTGGAGAAACTGACAGAGCATTTGACAGACAGCAATGCATAAGATTGGTTTTGATTTTGGTTTTGTGAAAAAAGACATTTTAATTTGCAATCAAGTAGTTATCCGAAATGGATTTCCAAAAGTACAAGACCTTTCATTAGTCAGTGGATGCTTGTACTTTTGGTTTCATGATGAAGTGTCACTTTCAGAACCCCATTGTAATGCACCATTTACATCAAATTCAAATGATTTGCATTTTTCTCTGACATAAACTCTAGCATAGATGCCTTTATTAGGGATTAAGTGTGTTGACATGTACAACAAAACACTGATAACTATCATAAAAACTTGACAAATCCAAGAAAAACATACTTATATTATTCTTTGAAATTGTATTTGTCTGTTTTTTTTTGTCAATTACTAAATGGATATCCACACAAGACATAAGAGCAATAAGCTGTAATGTAAAAAATGTACCAATTAGATTGTGCTTAAACCTTTTATGATCTTTAGAAATACTAATAGAATACAGGGAATGTTCACTGCAAAATGTAACTGCTGTCATTTAACTGCTATCATTTACTCACCCTTATGTTGTTCCAAATCTGTATCACTCTTCTGTAATCTCAATCTTTTGCAGAACTCAAAAGGAGAAAATTTTATTACATTTTCTATGATTGGATCAGGTCAGAAAATTAAACAACTGCATAGTAAAATGTATTTGCGCTTTCCTTTGTACCATCCAGTGCTTCACACTCCAGTCCAGTAGGTGGTGGAAGTTAACCCTTTACGTTGGTATGCAATTAAAACACCAGAAGAAGCAGGTTAACATATTTGCTACCTACTGGACTGGAGTCTGAAGAAAGTCATACATTAGTGTAAGTAAATGATGAAACCATTTTCATTTTTGGGAGAACTATCCCTTTAAGATGGTTACATGACCTTATACATTGTCAGGTTTTTAAGTGTAAGAATTGCATGTGAAGTAATCGCAACATTTGTTTTGTGTATATGTCTCTAGGTGTCTAGCCTGTACCTGTACGACAGTGTGCTGATGTTGGCCAATGCCTTCTACCGGAAGTTAGAGGACAGGAAGTGGCATAGCATGGCCAGTCTGAACTGCATGAGGAAGTCAACCAAGCCCTGGAATGGAGGCTGGTCCATGCTAGACACAATCCAAAAGGTCTAAAGTCACTTTACAGTTCATCTTAATTTGATCTTTAGTTCAGCCCACTAACATTCAGTAGTGTTCAATAAAACTGGTCTGGTTTGAATTATGAATTTCTTTCTGAACAGAAGTTTTATTTGTCATTCTTTAGGGGCGGATTTCTGGGCTCACTGGTTTAATGGACTTTCGAAGCAATGGAGTGAACTCTCATGTCCAGTTTGAGATCCTGGGGACCAGTTACAGTGAGACGTTTGGAAAAGATGTAAAGCGGGTGAGTGGAAATGTTGTAGAAGAGCGAGTGGAAGTTACTTCACCAATAAATAACAAATGACATAAATTCAGATTAATTTAACAGCATGATCTGCCATGTTGTATCGCAATGATTTTCCAGTGCTTTCTCATCTTGGTTGTCATCTGTTCAAAAATGGTATGCATGTGTTTTATACTAATGAATGGGACATTTGAGGTATAAAGTAAATGTGCAGTTAAATTAACATATAATCGCCACTGGTGAGATAATTTGCACAATATGGTATGCCGAATACTGACATTTAGTGTCTCAGTTTCTTGCTCGGTTTAGGTTTAATTCTGGAAACATTTTTTTGAACCAGTTACTTGGTATTTGGGTTTGTTTTTTCATAATGTACACAGCTATTTGTTATTATTTGTGAATGGTTTACAAATGAGCTTTTTCCCTACATAATTATGCAGTTATGTCATCAAAAGGGGCTTAGGTAACCCACCAAAATCCTGACCTATACATTGTGATTAAAAAAAATGAATAAGAAGGCTAATTCTTTCTCATAGAGATCACATGTGGCTGGGAAAGAGCAGAGCCTATTTCTGTATTCTGGGAGAGTTAGCTACTCCAAAAAACAGACAGAAATCATGAGGCACAACTAAAAATATCTGAAAGGAGAAGATAAGTGGACTGAAAGTGAGGTGAACGAGACAGATGGACAGAGAGTACAAGCAACTGAATGATGGATCCTGCTGTGTTTTGAAATTGGAGACACTGACATGAAACATGGCCAAGATACTTTTAACACACACATACAAATAACTCAGAGATCATTAGATCTCACAACAACACACAAACATCAACACACGTAGTCAAACATATCCATCAGAGCTGATGAATCTATCGCTTCTGTCTCTCTCTGTCTCTAGTTCTTTCATCTCTCCATCTGATGCACAAATACACACATGCTTGCAGGGCAGTGGAAGTGCTTTGCGACATGGCTGTGGTCATTAGCAGGGCTGCCGGGTCTATCAAACGCCAAACAATCTCAATCTTCTAGCCTGAATATTAGTGAGTGTGTGAGTTGAACATGACCATTCCCTCTGGCAAGAAACACAGAAAGCTAATGACTACACACACACATACACACAATAGCACCCCTGCTGTCCAATACACTAACAGCTAATAAACACACACACGCATTCTGCTGTCTGTCAGCATGAATATATGACCATTCTTCCACTCTGATCTCTTCTTAAAATGATGTCTCCTCCTCAAGGTTCTCTAAAGCCCACATAGAGGCACTCTGCATGTCATAGACTCTCTTCCTGCAGTTTCATTTTTCCACTCTCTCCTCTCCCTGCCTCTTTCTTTCTTTCAGAATATGCAGTTTAATTTTGAAAGGGGTTACATGCTGCATTAAATTTATTTATTTTTTTATTTTATTTTATAAGGGGAGCAATATATGTGTTCAAATGTTCAATGTTCAAATATGTATTTTTTTATCAGATAAAGTGTTAATAAAATAATAATTAAATTAGTAATTAAATTAGTGAGAAAAATAAAATAATATATATTTAATTCATGTAATTTATTTTTGGGAGCAGTTCACACATTTTTATTGTTAGTCCTTTTTATTAACAGTATTTTTATATTGTAAATATATATTTACTTTAAATATGTAAGTATATAAATCTAAATATATTTATTTAAATATATATATATATATATATATATATATATTAACATTGAGTATGTGTA